TGACAGACACCGGTGACGAGGGCGGCCGTGAGGCCCGCCACCCTACTGCTATCTTTTCTATTGAGGTTTTCCTGTTTTACTTTTGTTGTTGTTTTATTGTTAATGTTTTTCTGTATATGCAATCCAAGATTAGTAAATCTATAAACACAGGAACTGGATTAATGGTTTCTTGGGGATATGACAGGGGAAGTTGGGAGAAATGGGGAGCTAATAACGATGAGCATAAGAACCAGAAAATGTTCTAAAATCGATTGTGGCGATGACTGTACAACTCTTCTTAAGACGAGTGGACTATTGAATTGTGTGATTGTGACTTACATGCCATTAAAACTGTTGAAAACTGATCAGTTGCTGTGGAGCCAACCCCAGCTCACAGCTTCCGGGTGGCAGAGCAGAACGGCCCCACGGGGCCTTGGGCTGTTTCTCGGCAGCAGCCAGCCAGGGCTCTCCACTGAGGACTCTGCAGGTGGACGGAAACCTCCACCCTTTCAGCTAGCCGGCTGAGGATTACCATTTGTCTCACACTGGGGCCGTAACAAGCTTCCTAATGCTTCGAGGATACCAAAGGATGGCATTGTAAAATCTGACATGATCCGGGTTTAAAAGGGTCTTTTAAGATAGTTAAAAAATATATATATATACAGTAAAGCAGGAGCTCCCCAATCTAGCTTTCTTTCCATCTTATTTCCTAAGAGTTTAACAATATGTTTATCATTACTTTTAAGTATTGGAGAATTCCCTTTTCTTTTTAAAGTAAGTGCCATCCTCCTGGCCATTGAAAAGCTGCAGGGTAGGGGTGGAGGGTGGCAGGGGCTGGGGCGGGGCCCCGCCCCGCAGCCTTACCTGTGTTCCACGTGCATCGAGTTCCTCCGAGAGCCTTGGGGTGGGGGGCTGGCCTGGGCCTGCCCGCTGTTGTCCTCCATCCCTTCCTGGGCTTCGTTGATGTCTTCCTGCCCATTCCCCTAGGAGCCCAAACAACCTATTAGTGACTATACCAATTCTACTTTGAATGCTGGAACAATTAATAATAAAGTCACTTATTTTTAAAGAAAGAAGGCATAAAGTTTCATGGATTGCCTTAAAGACAATACATTTCATAAACTGCAGACCACGTATACATTTAGATCACTGGTTCTCAACCTTTGAGTCATGACCCCTTTGGGGGTCAAACAACCCTTTCACAGGGGTCGCCCGATTCATAACAGTAGCAAAATTACAGTTGTGAAGTAGCAACGAAAACAATTCTATGGCTGGGGGGTCAACACCACATGAGGAACTGTACTAAAGGGTCGCGGCATTAGGAAGGTTGAGAGCCACTGATTTAGATCCAAAGAATCTTTAAGCAACAGCAACTCAGAATAGACAGAATAACAGAACCAAGGAAGCCAGGATGGCTCAGCCCAGCCCTCAGGCGAATGGAACTGCAGTTTGGCAATGCCACACTGCCTGCAGGCAAGCCTGGCAGAGCTGAGGAGGCGGCATGATGGCAATGCCTATTCCCATCGGGGAGCGGCTCTGGGACTCCTCCCCCTTGAAGCAGTGAGGTCAGGCTGGAGGAGCAGCTCCCCCATCAGATGAGAAAGGGGTGCAGGGCCCTAACTTGCCACAGAACTCAGTGAACAAAGTGAGTACAGCTTGGTCAACATTGCCCTGGGGCCTCTCCTTGATGGCAGGAATGAGGGAAGGGGGGCAGTGCCCAAACTGGGCATGGAGGACACACGCACACACCGGAGCCTCTGCCGCTGCTGCCGCTGCCGCCGCTGCCGCTGCCGCCGCTGCCGCACTCTTCTTGCTCCTCGGCCTCCTCTTCTTCTTTCGGCCTTTGCCACTGGATGCAGGCTGAAAGGAAGCACAGTGTGACCTGTGAGGCCAGGGAGATGTGACAAAGTCACAGACCCCTGAGATCCCTGCCTCTAACTGCAGGTCCCCTCCTGCCTGCAAGGCAAGACAAGACACTGCTCCTGAGAGTCCAATTTCGGCCCTGATTCTCTCTTCTGAGTGACACTCCTCACACCAGCCCCAGAGCCGAGGCCCACAGCACCCAGACAGGGCAATGGGCCCTACGACAGCCACGCCCCTGCTCACAGGGAGGGGAGTCCGGGTGGGGCAAGCACTCCTGTCCAGACACCTACTCACCAGGCATCAATGCTGTCTTACAGACACAACAGTGACACACGAGAACTTGGTGCTCACAGGGGTGGGGGGTGCAGGGGGACTGGGTACACCTGGGGCCCCATACCTGCTCGGGGGCTGCTGCCCTGTCGCCACCCTCGCTGTCTGTCTTGGTCTCTGTGGTCCCAGGCTTGGCTCGACCTTGGCTCCCTGCACCTGCCGAGTCTGCAGATGCACTGCCCTCTGACTTGTCCCCACCGACCCCGGGCTCCTCCTCAGGTTCTTCAGGGTTGATCTGAGGTGACAGATGAGAGAGCAAGATGGCAGGTGGGCACAGGCACACATGGGCTGGCGTGAGGCAGGGGATGGAGACAGGACCCTACACAGCAGGGTTACCCTCAAGCAAGGGGGGGCCCTTGTCTTCTCCAAGCATTGAGTACACCACTCCAGCCCCTCGCCACCCACTGTCTGGCCCCATAAGGAGTTACAGACACAGGTTTTATGTCAGCGCACTAGATGCCCCAACTGGTCCAGGGCAAGAGGTTATTGCTAGTCCCCCCCAACCCCCAACATGGAAGTACTATCTGACTGTAACCAAAACTCACATGCCAGGGCTGCACTCGGATCTCAGAGGCACAACGTCAAGTAGAAAACTATACTCTTAGAGGCAAACAATCTCCCTTTGTGAGCCCCTTTGGGGAACTTAATGTTTTGAGAAACGCAAATTCCTAAGAGGCTTGAAGCCAACCTGCACTTCACACAGACAGGCTCCCTGGGAGGGGTGGGACTCCACTGAGGTCAATACTGTTTGTTACCCATCCAATCTGGCAGAGATGGACCTCTGAACCGGTGGGGAGGGCCTAAGTCTGAAAGAGGTCTACCTCGACACACTGGAGCGGGAGCAGACGAGCAACCTTCTAACCCTGAGATAAGCAAGCACCCTGAAGGAAGGAGCTGCTGGGTCAGAGTCTCAGGAGACCCCACGGCCACTGGCACAGAACAGCCACGAGGACAATGGTCCACACCCAACTGGGTCTCTTCAAAGCTCCTGAGTGGTCGAATCAGGTGCAAGTATTGGTCTCTCACTGTCCAAATCCAAGGAAGAGTGAAGACAATGGAGGATGCATGGTAACGAGTCCCCGGTGGACTCACGGGCCACACCAAACACCAACCCCCTGACCCTTGCACCCTGAGGACTAGACGGTGCCCAGTTACCCTCGCTTGCTGTTCTGAGAGAGAAGGCATAAAAGATCCTGAGTCGAGTGGGAGAAGATGTCAAGGGTTACTTGTCTGAGAGACTAGTGAGAACCTTGAGGCTATGACCCTTAGCCTCCCCCCGGGTCTAGAAATGAATTCACCTCTTAGCATTTGTGCTGAGAGCAGTCACCAGGGAGATAAGCACAGTTAGAATCATGTCACCTAGCCTCAAAAGGCCAGCAGTTACCCAAGGACAAAGTGGACAAGAGTTAGAAAATGGGGGAGGCAGGGAGGAAGTAGGAGAGCTGATGTCACATTGTAAGGGCAGTAATTAATGATAAAACAAAATGCATCATAATGACTGAATAGAAAATGGATCTGTTCTGCAAACTGTCACTCAATTCACAATTAAAAGTCAGAAACAAAAATAATGACCCACATACTGGACATCATTTGTTGGAAGCCCTCAGTGTTGTTCCTGATGTCAAGGGGCACTTGGCTGACAGTGTCCAATTCACTGCCTTCCACACAAAATGCCCCTCAGTCACCCCAAAGTAAACCTGCATTGTCCAGAAGCTGTCCCTGCCAAGGGGCACCCCCGAAGGGCGGTTAGATGAAGCTCCATAGATCCTGTCCACTGCACATATGGTCACTAGCCTCCCAGACAAGGCTCAGAGCTCTCACTGAATACTGGACAGGTGGCTTATAAAACTTGAGACCTGATTTTAAAACAAGGGGTGTATCGTTTATAGTTCAATGTGCTTTGGCAATTACATATGAGTGTGTACCCACAATGCCATCAGCCAAGTATACGCTTGTGCCTGGGTGGCACAAGCTTATACACTTGGTGCTGACCCAAAGGTTACTGGCTCGAGCCCACTCAAAGGTTCCTAAAGAGGAAGGCTTGGAGACCTAAACACCCCACCCCCACCACAGCCATATGGAGTATAGATCTACTCGCCATGAATCTGAATAAATTCAATGCTAAGTGACTTGTTTTGAAATCTGACACTAGTTATACACAATTCACTTATTGTGTTACTGGTGTTTGGTGCTTTGAGTCGATTCTGACCCACACAAACCCTATGTACAAGAGAACAAAACACCTCCCAATCCCCACCACCCTCACAACTGTCCTGGGTGAGCCCTTTGTTGCAGCCAGTGTTGGTCCCTCTCATCAAGGGGGTCCTTGTCTTCGCTGACCGTCCAGAGGATATGTCTCAAGTATGTGAAATTAAGTCTCGCCATCCTTTCTTCTAAGGAGCATTCTGGCTGTCCTTCTTCCCAAACAGCCTATGCTACTTTCAATGTTCCTCATCACCGCCATCACTCAAATTCACCACAATTCAAATGCACCATATTTTCTTTGGTCTTTCTTATTCAATGTCCAACTTTCACATGCATATAAGGAAACTGAAAATAGCATGGCTTGGGGCAGGCACACCTTAGTCCTCGTAGTAACATCCTTGCTCTTCACACTCTAAAGAGGTCTGGTGGGACAGATTGACCCAATGTATCATTTGATTTCGTGGCTGCTGCTTCCATAAGCAGGGATTGTGAATCCAAGCAAGACAAAATCCTTGACAACTTCAATCTATTCTCCATTTATCAAGATCTATTATAATCCTCACAACCCAGTTGTAAGGGTTTGGGTTTTCTTTTTTTTTAAATCATTTTATTGGGGCTCCTACAACTCTTATCACAATCCATACATCCATCCATTGTGTCAAGCACGTGTGTACATTTGTTGCCATCATCATTCTCAAAACATTTGCTTTCTACTTGAGGCCTTGGTATCAGCTCATTTTCCCCCTCCCTCCCTGCTCCATCCTCCTTCATGAACCCTTGATAATTTATAAAATATTTTTGTCATATCTTAAACTGTATGATGTCCCCCTTCACCCACTTTTCTATTGTCCATCCCCCAGGGAGCAGGTTATACAGTGAACCCTCGTTTATCGCGGTTAATCGGTTCTAGACCCTACCGTGATAAATGAAATTCCACGAAGTAGGATTCCTTATTTGTAAAT